CTAACTTCTCTTTCCCATTCTTGCACAAAAAGTGCTTTCCTTCTGCGCTCAGTTCCTGAGCAATCACATTTTTTCTCATGCCAGGTCCTTCCTAACAATCCGCTTTGATACTTTGTAAAATGCAGATGAATGTGGGAAAAAACCACTGCTTTAGGACTACCTCAGTATTTTATGACTTCAGAACTGGTCCCTTCCCGATGTAAAAAAATTAAGGTCATCTAAGTTTAACTGCTCATGGGTGTGATCCTGATACTGGCTGAGTGTCTCTGCTCCTGCAGAGCCCACACCTTCTGTGCATCCTCGTGATTTCTCAAAGGTAAAACATCAAGTTTCTACCTTAACCAATCCCCCATATTAATTGATTTTTTCCCAAAACCCTGCATCTTTCTGACTACGGACTTGTACAAAGTGTATTAAACAAGCTACATGAACATAACATCATCCTGAAACAAGAACCCTTTGAGCATAGAGATGAACATTTACCAAAGGACTTAAAATAATAATAAAAAAATGTGTTTTCATTCACTGAGCAAGAGATGTAAAAACTAGACAGGAAGGATCCCACAGCCAGCAAGGATACTGACAAGTTAATAAGCATTGCCATCCATCCCAGCAGGATTGTGAAGGCTCATCCCTGGATAATGCAAAGCACTACTCAATAGTCTGACTTTGAATGAGAAAGATTCATACCTCATGTACTTTTCTGTACAGAGAAGTGCTGGGTTAAAGCCTGGGATAGTCCTCAAAATAAAAACATGGAAAATTCCTGCTAAATGCCAAGTTTAAGGCAGCCATGATTCAAAAGGACAGCTTGAGCAGAATAGGTGCCAGGGATGTCTGTTCTCTGGAGTGACTTACAAACTAAAATTCTTCTAAACCAATAGATGCTTCTCCTGTCTCATGTGAGGAGACAAGGAGGCGGCTTCACTGTATCTCCTCGCCATCTGGAAACTCTCCAGGCAAGGATACCTTCTCTATTGAGCGTTTGAATAGAATTAGTTTTCATCCAGCTGAAATCTTTGTTCTGAATCTGTACAATCCCTGCTCTCCTCCTTCATAAGTCAGGTTTATGCTTCTTCCATGTGGTTTTGATATACTGATAGAACTGGAGACCAAGGAAAAAACAGCTCAATGCCTCAAGGAAAGGACCCCCAAGATAAGAACCCACACAAAATATTATTCTCAACGTCACCAGGTACTGTGTTCTGCTTTGCTGCTCTTCTGAGCTACGACCTTTCATAAATGATATCAGATGGTATTTGTCTTACCCAATAGCCTGTTCCATTGTTCAGGACAGGCATGCACATACATAATATTAATTTCTCTAGCCTATTAATAAAACCAAAATAAAATAACAATAGCAAATTGGGTACAGATTTATCCTGATCTGTTTCTGCAGTCTACTTTCATTTCTAAATTACATTTATGCATTTTCATTTCCAGTTTCTTTAAATGTGAATATTACTGACTAATTATCTTGTTACTATGATGGACACAATCCAAAAACCTAGACAGAAATATGTAATTATTTCAGTTTTGGTTATAAATTTTGTGGCTGAAGCCACAAATGATTGAAGACTTTCACAAGCATGCCCAAGAAAACCTGACTGAAACTGAAGCTATCTTTATTTTCTTTTCCCCATGAAGTGAAGGTTTAGCTCAGCATGTTTCTTGCAGAGACACACACAGCACAATGGCTTGTTTTGGGCTGCTGTCATTCAGCTTCATGCTGCATCCTCATCTAGAGTCATTAACCTTTTATTACGAGGAACACAATCATAGTGGTTTTGGGTTTTTTTCACAGGAAAAATACAAAATTTTAATGGAGTATATTGAAGATACTTCATCAGTAACAGTCAGTTTTCTTCTTAGTACACGTTAATAGATTTGCTCACTGAAGCCTGCTTGTCTTTCCAGTACACAAAAATGCAGTAATCTAAAATACATATAACCAATAGAAAAAAACACATGAATAAGCAGTCTGCTTAGTGGTGCTGTGTAAGGAAATAAATGTCCTTTTACCAAGAACTGGACCATAAATCAATAATGGATAAGCTTGAGAAGATGGTGTTTATGTTATTTTGGAGATTATTTTCAGGTGGAAATATTTTTCCATCTAGTTCACAACACAAAATCTTTGTCTAAATTATGATGCAAGTTCTGATTCAAAACTTACTAAAATAATAATTAAAAAATCTTACTGAATTTGATGGCACTTTTACTTGAATTAGTGCATGTTACTTGTAGATATGAAAAAAATGGTCTATGAAATTATGTGAACTGATGCTATCCCCTCACCTCCAGCTTCATTCACATCATAGGTCAGAAATTCTCGATGCCAATTGCATAAAAATCTCACTCGTACTTGATCTCAGCTTCCATTAAGGTCAATAAGAGTTCTGCCTGAATGCAAAAGATGATCCATCCAACTTCCATCCCTTCAAAATATGACATTTGCCACATGGATTCAAATATATCTTAATTCTTTTCCTTAGACACTTCACAACATTTAATTCTTAAAAATTAAAAGTCACAAACTTTTCTCTTTTGTCTTCTCTTTGTTCTGAAGAGACACACAGAAGACAGCTATAGATTGCTCCCCCTTCACACCCCCTTCCCCCCTTTTTTTTCCCTTTTTATTTTTTAATCTATAGGGTAATTTGCTTTCTGGAGAACTAACTGAATTTTCCAAATCGAATTTGAAAAGATGCTCCATAATATCCATTATAGCAAACACTGTCCTGCAGATTTGATTAGTAGGCTCTCTGGACCTGCTTATTTCTGAATTGAAAGTGCAGTCCAGCCTGGATAAATGAATTACCTGAGCAGCGGAACTTCTTGCTCTTGATCTGGCTGATCCTCTTGTTGGCAAGGCGACGCGGGTTGCTGCACCGAGCGCCGCTGGTTTCTATCGGATTATCCTGCAGGTAATCAGCCAGCCACTTCAAATGGCAGTCGCACACAAATGGATTCTGAGCTAAATGTCTGCAAGAAGGATGGGATGTTTAATCAGAAGTGACCTGTGACACTGTACTCCATCACTGTTTTTCACAAACGCAAACCTGAAGAGTAGAGTAATTGAATGAGCTTCCAAAAGCCCAGGCCTGGCGGAAACCACACGGAGCTGCACATGAATGGGAGAATTCTGGAGCTATCACATTTCGTAGCTCATTAAGCCTCCTGCAAGTCCTTTCACAGAGGAAATAAAAATTAAGATAGCAAAATCTGCTTTAAGGGACACAGACTTCCTGTCTACAAAGTGCAATGTTTGATATGCTGCCTTTTGAGAGAAATCCATCTTTTTAGATGAAACTGACATGAAGATAATTTCGTATCCTGGTTTAAAACAAATTTTATTGGCAAGCTCCACCTCTGAGGGATCAAAATGTGAATTAGTAAAGTGCCTTGGAGCTGTGGGCAGAGCCAGAAGTGATCTAGAGGTCTTTTCTCCAGACTGAAATGGATATCTGCCTATACTTATCATGTGTAATAGTAATAATCTCATTTATTTTTTTTTGTCTTGGACCAGAAATTTTTACTTTTGAAGCTGAACTGTTTTGCATGGAAGAACTTGACTCTATCCTTCACCAAAATTTGCACGTTTCCCACACAATTGAAAGTTAGAGCATTGATTTAAACTGGATATTTAGATTTTGTTAATAGAAATCTGCTGGAGTATCTTAGAGAGAAACAGCATTTCCCTGCTGCTGTTATGGATCATTCTGCTTGACAAAGTTGAGCACTACATCAGGAGAGTTTTTTATGTCTTTGTCAGAGTCTGATTCAGATCTCAGCAAAGTTAATTTGCACCAGTCCCTCTACCTTCTAAGGGAGCAGGACATAGCTCTCCAATAACTGCAAAAGCAGTTGAAGACAGATTTTTTAACTTGATTTGGACAGAGGTGTCCAGGCTATAGCCTCAGAAGGACTCTGTGCTGTTACTGTTGGTGTGTTTTTAGCACCTGTTTGAAGTTAGAAACAGTAACTTCATGGAATAAGCATAAAATACAACAGGGCAAGGTCTGTCAAGGAGTGGCAAGCGCCTGAAGAAACTGTACATACGTATTCCAGTGTGTATTTATGTACATACACATATATATTTTAATACTGGAAACAAACACTTTCTACATAAACACATAGAGTCTTAGATCAATATATGACCACACAAAGAAATATGAGCACAAATGCACAATATTGAGTGAGGGGGTTCTTCCTTGTTTTTCATGTATATGGGCCTGCCAACTCCAGTTCTGAAGGAGTCCTGTTTACCTTGCTATCTTACTATTCACAGCTTCAGGATTTAATCTTCTTCTGTAAAATATTAAGTCTTTTCTATACTTTTGCTTCCAGTTTTTCTTCTGATCCCTCCTCTCCCAATGCCTCCAATTCAAAGACTCTCAGAAAATGTTTAGAGGGTTTTCATAATGGACCAATTAATACAATGTATTATTTCCAGTAAGTGAATGTCAGCTGAAATGGTTTCAGAAGTCACTATCTGTACAGCAGGACTCGGACCCAGTAAGGAAAGATGACAACTCACTAGCTCATTAAAAATGGTTAGACAATGTTTTTAACAGACTCTGCTGTATATATAGTGTACAGAGTCAAATTTACATATTATATTTCAAACAGTATGAATTAATTACTCTGGGGGCTTAATACACTTGGGAAATTCACGTCACTATGGGCAGGCTATATCGATAGCTGACTGTGCTGAATTTATACACTTATTTTTCTTACTCCTTTTCTGTCAGAAGAGGAGAGGCTAGTACCTTGGAGTATCTTCCAAATTGTCTTAATGCCAGGAGCAAAGCCTTTGCAAAGACAGGCAACATCTTTGGGGGAAAAAGAGAGAGCTAGAGACCTGTCATTTACTATATGCCTGCATACTCACAGAGTCTGTATCGATCGGAGAGGTGCAAAAAGCCCCTTGCTGATGGTCTGCAGTTTGTTGTCATAAAGAGATAGCAGTTTGAGATTATGCAGACCTTGGAACGTGTTTACCCTCAGGCAGTTGATCTTATTGGCATTGAGAAGCCTGAAAATAGAGGAAAGGTTTATAATTCATTAATCTTGTAATAATCAAACAAAGATAGACCGAACTTTGGGGTTAAATATTAAAGAAAAAAAAAAAAAAGAAAAAAAAGAATATAGTAAAAAAGCCAACCCACATATAAAGATCTTGATTTGCCTGCTACATTAAAAAGATGAAAAAAAACAGTCAGCATCAGGATTCTCATAGCTGGGCAACATGCAAACACATGACAGTGCTATCTAACTTGAAATACTTAATGTTTTGGTGTGGGGTTTTCTTTATGCCCGGTTCCCCTCCCCAGTTTATTAAAAATTTTACACAAATATTTAAAATCTTCAGCTTAACATACATAGAAATGGCAAATACTCCCTGCTTTGGAATTCCATACATACGTATGTGCAAAGTCCACAATGAGAAGAATAGGGTTGTTTTTGTTATTTTTTCCCTTTCTCTACCAGCAGCTGTCTTAAGTCTGACTGAAATCATGGAAGTTTGACATCTTTTGATAAGCAGTGCAGAGCCAATTAGATCATGGAAAGAATTAAAATGTGATTCTCCTCAGAGACAAAAAGAGAAAAGTGTGGGGTCTGGACTCAGACTTCCTGAAAGGCAAGCTCAATTCCTATTTAAGGATAGTCAAGCAGTGGAACAGGTTGCTTGCAGGAGTTGTGCAGTCTCCATTGTTGCAAGTTTTCAGGAGGATCCCAAATAAAGCCATGAGCAACCTGCTCTGACCTAAGAAGGTGGCTCTGCTTTGATCAAGAGGTCTCCAGTCTCAAATGCAAGTTACCACCTGAGGTTGCTTCCCATCTCCATTGTCCTACAGTTCTGTTCTTACAAAAGCCAAAATCCTCATGTTTTTACTACTATCAGCCTGAAAAAAAAGGGTACATTGCAAGCAGTATGTGCAGCTAACTTGGTTCTCTTGGTCACAAAATTCTTGCTAGTTTGTCAATGAAGTTGAAAGGCTTAATATTGCAATAGTGAGGCTCCCTATGAGCCACACTAATACTAAATTAGAAGACAAATATTGTTTTAGGTAAAAAAGAAAAGATATCCTCCATTCCTCAGAAAGCACATATATGATCTTAAACACACCTCTAACAGCACAGTGAGCTTCCATTTCTATCAAACTGCACATATACCACTACAGGCAACACAGAAACCTGTCAAGGAAGAAATGAGTGCTTGTTTTTTTGTGACGTGACGCTTTTTCTTTTTTGCTCCAAAAAAATAATTTCAGGTGCTTCCTTTGCATTGCACCCTGCCTTGGCATTGCTGAAACCTTTGGAACATTGTACACTCATGACAGCCCTGTGCTTCCCCCATCATTTTGGCAGAGCCTCATTACTGCAGTAAATGGCTACAGTAATTGTGATACATAAAAGGACACATACTTGACTAGAGTCCTTTTCTCAAGGAGAAGAGGAATACAGGTCTTTGGAATGAGAGGGTGTCAGAGCTGAACTCACCTTTCTGGTCAACAGAAAAGTCAATATCAATTTACCTGAAGTTTCTTTTTTATATGTCATGGAAAAAGATGTTTGACGCTAGGTAAGAGAAAGTCCCATAGAAAGCTATGATGGATAAATGAGGTTACATTTTTCTATGAACTAATTGCTGAACTAATTTTATGAAATTATAAGCAACAATCCTATGACCTCTGTGTATTTCTGTGACTGATAATTATGCGACTCCTAATCCAGAGTCCTGTTGACTCCACAAGAAGTAACAGGGTAATTTTCGTATTAGGCTACAGGAACAGTTACTCCCATGTCATCAATGTAATCTCTTACTTCCTGCTTCTTAAAGCCATTTGTAGGTCGAAGCCAAAGCATCTTCATTCTCTCTTGGTTCTGCATTATGCTTTTATCTTTCAAGGTTGTACATTATCATTTCCATACAGAACAGGTTAAAAAGTCATTAGAAGGCAGAATCAGGTGCTGAGTTTTGAACAATATCCTGATGTACATCTAGGCATTACCTTTGGTTTCTACCCCCTGTCCTTGTGATTCCACTTAATAAACACACAGAGTAGAGCTGACCTACAACTGCAGTGAATTCATGGAATTTGGATTAATTCTCTCAGTAGTTTCAACAAACCATGAATAAACCAAATGCTGGAAATTGGAAGTCACAATGTGACAAGATTTTTGGCATGAATTTTTAATGACTAGATTCATGGGGATACAATCTGCGACATTTCTTTAAAAGCCAAGTACCAAAATGAGAGAAACTGATATTATATACACTTACTGACACGGGGGCACATTCTCTTCTTTAAGCATCAGCGAAAGTAACTTGGAAGAGGAAAGTGTTTGTGTAGACTGTTTAGAAGTGGGAATTCAGGTACTACACAGCTTTTCTGAGGAGGCAACAGCTATTCTGTATGTCATCTACACAATATATTGGCAGTACCTAAATCTAAAGAGCACTGAGTGTGCTCAACAGAAATACAGATGTGGCTATGCTTGGTGGGTCATGAGATAGATTAATGTCCTATTTCTGATAAAAATCAGTGAGAAAATAACAGGTCGTAGGGGTGAGTGAAAAACAGAGAGCAGAATAAGTAACCCTGACATTTTTTTCCTCATAGTTACTGTGAATTAGACAATGTCTTTTGGCCAGGAGAATTAAGGTTTATATTCCTTTCAAAACTCTCAGTTATTTTAAAATATCCCCTTTAAGAATATTCCCCTTTATAAATGCCAGTTCTTTGCTTAATCTTTCTTCAATGTCTCAGTCATTCTAATGGCATCTAATTATTAACTAGGTATTCAAGGCTGGCCTAACATTGAGTTAAAAATGGTTATAATAGTTGTGTTTTTTTTTTAAACAACCACAAAGGCAGATGAGAAAAACATATTCTAGGAAGCAGAAACACTGATCTTCCTTAAACAGTGAACCACGCTGTAAAACATACTAAGGGTTCCTGTTCATTGGACTCACACCAAGAAAGGGACAATATTAAAAGCTGAGTCTTATTTAACAAGAATTACATGGTATTTATTTTGCATCGATTTATGGTGAAAGTAAATTCCATTAATTTCACTATTTTATTGTCAGTTTGATTGGATGAGGTTTACACACAGCCCCCAAACGTGGTGCAGCATTCAAAAGGAGGTTACAAATTCAAGCAGAAATAAAACCACCCAGTAGCCAGAGGGATGATGGATTATTAACTGAAGTCTCTGTTTAAAAACATGAAGAAATCTCTGCTAGGAGCACCACAGAATACAGGAAGATGGCTAAAGACCTTGTGGTTTGCTCACCATTGAAAGCGTTTCCTGAAGGAGTGAATTTGTCCATACACACTGAAATAATAACATGTTTCAGCTAAGGCCTTTGAGCAAATGTGTACTGAGTTGGCACTGCAATTGTATCAGATGCTCATAAGCACCATCTGCATAATTAAGATGGTCCCATAATTGAATTATATGCCCAAGCACAGTTTCAAGTGATTAACATTTAAATAACATTTTGAACTCCAAACCCAAACGATTGAAAAAAATTGTTGTTCAAGAGCAAATGGATGTTTATATGGCTTTTACCCTTAGCAGTGCTTGTATTTTCAGCTCAGCAAAGTCAAGTGATCAAACTATCAGCAGAATAACTACATAACTCAGAGAACAAAACAGCAGCCTAGCAACCTTCACGCATGTTGGAGGCTGCAAGTTGATTTCTTTTGCCACAGGATGGACCAGAAATCATCTCCTACAGACGTCAACAAGTCAAAAGGAAAGTGTCAGGGAAAGAAGCTGCACAGAGCCACTGGAAAACATCTTTTTCACTAGCTTTGTGTTTTGACAGCAACGACAAAATGATGTGAATGAAAATGTTCGG